ACATACTTCATTGCAGAACATTCCTCCAGTTTGAGGCAGTTAATGAATTTCTCCCTCCTTTCTCATCATGAGACGTTTGAGAAATATTAACAAGCAAATTGAGGGAAAATTATGATAGGAAAAAGAGCACTTTTAAAAACTGAGAGCAAATTAGAACTGTTACAACAAGCAGACTGAGAAAGCATTATTAAATACTTTGGATTGAGATAATTAAGTATAACATGTGAAGAGGCAATAAAGAAATACTTGTTCTCCTCCCTTCTCCCAAATCTACATTTTAATTTCAAATATTGGATTGGCATTTTGATTTTTGTCAGTTATTGTTTCTAAAGACTTCAGCCTTTGACTAAACATTCCCAATTCCTTTGTGTCCTTTGGAAGGCCCAGGAAAGAAAGAGACTGAACAGCATAGTGCTGAAAAAGAGTGAGCAAGGAAAAAGCAAAATAAAATGTACCGGTTAATGAAGCAGTCAGTCCGTGCTCAATCTATAGCAGCATTTGTTTTACAAAATTATGCACTCTGCACTGCAGATACATGAATAGTGTTGTAGCTAAAATCACCAAAAATGTACAATAAATGATATCACATGTAATTTCTCTCCCAATTTTTTGTTTGTTTAAAAAAAAACACTAGAACATATTATAACTCCTGGACTATACTTTCTTATCCTTCAGCCCCCACAGTGCTCTTCATTGGGAAGAAGACTGCTCTGATATTTCACTCCAGAGAGACAGTTGTTCTGTATTTGCTTGGAAGGTATTTGCAGCAATACCTTCTAGCTTTTCAAGCAAATGATCAAACATTGTCATCCTTCACTGTAATACCAGAATAAGCCAAGCTAAGAGCATGGAAAGTACTGAGTTCTTAGTGAGTTACTTAGGATATGTCTACACGGACCAATTAAACTGGTTTCCCACCTGCTCTCACTGCAACCTGTCTACACAATGCAGGACCAAAGCCCCAATTCACGTGCAGACTGTCTTCACAAGGGAAGGCCAGTTCCATGCCGAATCCATTCCCAAAGTAATAAGTAAAGGTAATGACTTAATGTTACACCCACAAAATAATAACATCACCAGTCACAATGTTACTTTGAAAAATAACATTACGGTTCCCTCACTGCAGGTAATATTGATATTTGTAACATGTTGTTACCTGTAACACAATGCTTCCAAGTTCTGTTAGCAATTTACTTCATTGAGTTGCTTTTGTGATACATGTACATGGTTCGTCTCCACAGAGATATGGAGATATTTACAGATACGGAAATTACTGCTTCTTTAGTCCAGCATGCATCCTCAGTGTACAGCAGGAAGTTATAGTAAATGATTAGGTGGATTTTTCTGTTTATAAACACACAGAAAAGCAGGAACACAAGCGCATCAGTATGTTTTAAAGCACCAAGAATATTCTGAGCAGCTTCCACAAGGCAATCTTTTGTGTTCTTTAGGTTAAGTGAGGTTTGGCTAGGTATATTTATTGGAAGCCTCCAGTCCTGACAGAAGTCAAGGAGAGGGGAAACTTCTCTAGATGCTGCCTCTTGGAGGCAACCATCACTGTACTGAAAACACAAGGCATTGCTTTACTGGCAGGTTACTGTTGCCATTCATCAGAAAGCAGAGTGCTGGATTATGTCATTGCATTGTTTATGGCTCACAAGGATGCCATCATTGTCAAGGTGCAGTGTAAAAGGAAACAAAAAACAGGAACAAGAAGCTTTTGCAGGGCAAATAGAACACTGAATTTTATGAATGGCAGTCTAGGGCAGGAGACACCTAATTTATTGCCCAACTGCAGCAAGGACTCTTAAGACCTTCAGCTGAATTCAATCTGAGTCGTAATGCCTTTGCATAGCTACATTTCTGAGCTCTTCACAAAGGTTTTATTTAATAAAGAAAAGAATAATGGAAAGAAATGAAAGCTTCAGAAAGTTTAATTTGTACCAAGCTTTTATGGCTGCCCAGACGCCCATCAGTTTTGAAAAATGGACTGATGTGACAAGCAAACTGATAAATCAGCCAATGTCATAAGATGATATTGAAAATGTTACAGTTTTAGACCATAACTTCCAGAATGTAGGATTCTGGAGGTAACAGTCCATAAACACATCCAATCAAGAAATAAAAGGAGTCCCTTTTATCCAATCCCCATTACAAAACAGATAGCAGAGAGGGCTGGATATATTTCCCCCATCTTCCAAGAAATGTGAACATGACACTGGGTCTGGGTTCCTGCTGAATTCTGCTATTTTCCTTTCCCTCAAAAAACTGCTTGGATCTTCCGCCACATTGCAATGATCACAAGATACAGCTTATCTGAGTTGAATGGTCCTGTTAACGTGTAACATTTTATTCTGATATGTTAACCTAAAGCAGGGATGGGCAATTGTGACCCTCCAGATGTTTTCAGCCTACATTGCCTATCAGCTTTAGCCAGTACAACCTATAGTAGGGTTATGAGCAGTGGCATTACCAAGGGATGTGGGAGGTGTGGATCACCCTAAAGCAGGGGTAGGCAACCTTTTTGAGCCAGGGGCCGGGTTGCTGTCCCTCAGACAATTGGGGGGGCCGAAGCACCAAAAATAAATAAATAAATAAATAAATAATTTTTTTTAAAAAATTATTTTTTAAAAAAAATATGCATTCACACTCTCTCAGCCCCAGAAAAGCCATGGTAATACTCCTGTGGAGATTTTGCCAAGAAAAACCCCAAGAACAAGTAATAACAACAATAATCAATATCATCATGGTGGGGGGGTGGCGGCGGGGGCGGCGGCAGGACCGGCCTGGGGCCGACCCAAAGGTCTCAGGGGGCCGCATCCGGCCCCCGGGGCCTTAGGTTGCCTACCCCTGCCCTAAAGTGACACCACTACTCCTGAAACATCTGTCTTTGGGCAGAAACAGGCTGTGGCATTGCCTGTATCACTTTAAAATGCTGGAGGTCAGCAGAAGAGATAGGTTGAGTGGGATGAGGCTCAGTGGGAGGAGAAAGGTCAGGCCCCAGTTGTTGTTTTTTAAGTCAAAATTTCAAAAAATGTTTAATTTTAAAAAAATTCTTTAAAAACATCACATTTTATCAAATTTTCACTTTAAGCACATTAAACTATCTATATGTAAATACATACAGGCTGTGTATATGATATTGTAATTTAAAGTTATAATTTTCATTGTGCTAGTTGTTTATGTCACAACTATTATCATTTCATTCAGTGATATATGGGAATTACAATTGATGAGTAACATTACTGCAAAAAACATGACTAAGGATTCTGTATGGTGTGGTACAGGTGGAGGTCAAAAGGGGGTGACACCATGAGTTACTGCACTGGGTGACACCAACTCTAGTGACACCACTGGTTATGGGATATGGAAAGAAAAACTATCATTTTTGAACAATTTCAAGTTATTCTGTCCTAAACTAAAAGTACAGTATTACCATGTAAACTCTTGGTTAACGTACAATTATCCCTCTGGTTATTCATGTGCCCCAATGAATTATTTATTGCTCAACAACTTTAATATTGTGAAGTCAAAGGCTTTCACGGCTGGCATCTATAGTTTTTGTGGGGTTTTTGGACTATGTGGCCATGTTATAGAAGAGTTTATTCCTAACATTTCACCAGCATCTGTGGCTGGCATCTTCAGAGAATGCTGGCATGGAAGTAAGTGGGGTACATATACTGTGTGACTCTTGGTTGAAAAGAAGTGATTTACATGCTAATTTGTGTATTGGTCTATTGCTAAATGGCAAGGCCTCAGGGTGGGAGGATATACTTTAATATTGTTTTCCTGATACTGGAAAATAACATATAATAATAAATTCCACTTCATATTAATGATCATTGCAGAATGCCCTATAGATTGTGTCTGATAACACTAAATCTATTCCTTGTTATTTCTCAATAGATACTTACTTACAGATAACCTAGAGAAAGAGTTTCTAGATCATGGGAGGGATTTCCCAGAGCATTTCATAACAATACAGGCCAGAGGTTCACAAGAACTGTTTTTTTCACATAAAATGTAAATACCAAGTCCAAAATCTCATTTTCCAGATATGAATGTTGACACTGTTATTTCAGGGAAGGTCCTAGGAATGATCTTCAAGAATAAATGTACTTTTATATTATGATTGTTCCCTCCTTTAATTTATCAACAAGCAATTGGAGCTCATTCATACTATATAAAGTAGCTTTTTGTTGTGTGCCTTCAAGTCACTTCTGGCTTATGACTGTAAGGTGACCAATCCTACCATGGCATTTTCTTGGCAAGATATGTTAGAATAGGGTTTGCCATTGTATTCCTTTGAGGCTGAAATAATGTGACTTGTCCAAGTGGGTTTCCATGATCAAGTGGGGATTTGAACCCTGGTCTCCTGGAGTCCCTGTCCAACACGCAAACCACTACACCTTGCTGTGTCTCTCATATAAAACAACTGCTTCCTTTTTTCTTTTCTTTTTTTGCAATTTCAAACTTCTTATGCAAATTTACATCCTATTACCACTGTGCACTATTGTTCAGTAAGATTCATAGGCTAGCTGTGTCAGCTGCCAAGATTGGTGTAATTTTTTTCCTCACAAACTTTATAGCAGCCTTCATAAACTCTGTTGCCTTGCTTTACCATTTGGTGATTTGAACTGACATTTGTCCTTTTGGCATCTATCTGTTTACCAATTTATATTTCACCAATTATGTAATTTTATGAACCCAAAGCTGGTTCCCCCCCCCCGCCATATTCCAATCCTTTCTTCACCACATTCATCTTCAAACCTTTATTTTATACCATCCCTATTGATGTGTCCCAAGAAGATAATAGTAAGTCTTGGCCTTACCTGCTTTCAGATAGTTAATATATATCCCTGGCAGGCACCTCTGCCTTGGATGTTGATTTTAACCCAAAAGGAAATCTGTAAAAAGCAATTATCTCTGAAAGAGTGTGCTAAAATGGATAGCATTAAACTGTATTCATCTAGTAGCAATTCATCATTTTTTATTCATCTGGTAGCGTGGGATAGTGGTTTGAGCATTGGACTAGGACTCTGGAGACCAGGGTTCAAATCCCAGCTCAGCAATGGAAACTCACTGCCTGGCCTTAGGTAAGTCACACTCTCTCAGCCTTGGGGGAGACAAAGATCTCTGAACAAATCTTGCCAAGAAAACCCCATGATAGGCTTGCCTTAGGGTTGCATTAGCCAGAAACAACTTGAAGTCACACAACAACAAATTATTCTTGTTATGGCTTATGTGTGTACCTATTCAATAGTATTGTCCACCTTTAAATTATTTCAAAGCTGCCAAGTGATTTATTTGTTTGTTTGTTTCATTTGTATGCTGCCTTTCTCCCCAGATGGACCTAAGACAGCACACAGGTTAAAAAAAAAATTAAAATTTTCAATACAATTCAAAACAATTAAAATAATCTATGAACAATATAAAATCACATACAAACGTAGAAAAGTTAAGACAATTTACAATAAAGAAGGAAAAGAAAACACAGGAGTAAAACCTCAAAACAACTGAAAGAATACAATAAGAGGTGGAAAGACTAAAGTCACATAAGAAACGTCAGTAACAGGGAAACATATGATGTCTTTTTTTTTGTATACACCTATAGAACCAGATAATTCAGAATGGAAGGTATAGAAATAATAATTTGTTACTGACTAAGAAAATAATGGAATGTAATGAAGAAGAAACAAGGTTTTGTTATGTATATGTGGAATTTAATTAATAAAAATATTTTTTTTAAAAAAAAAGTTAAAAGTGGTTCTTCCTTTAATCTTTGTATGAGACACTAACGTGTTTCTGAGATCTCTATCTTGTACTTAGTTGTCAGGTTTCAAATATAAATCACAAATCAAACC